CCATTAGCTAAGCTGTTCTTTTTTTTACTTCTAAAACAAAAGGCTAAAGAATTTAGTTTCATAATGATTACAATACTCTACTGGAGAAGAGGGGGGGGGGAGGTCTCAATTAGTTTCAACAAACAAAATATACAGCCAACACAAAGCTCTATTGGATATTTTGTTAATTAGTTTCCCCTGCACAGTTTTCATTTTAATTAGAAAAATTAGTGCTCAAAGTTTATGTCAAATATTGACGACAAGTAAAATTATTTAACGTATCACATTATTTACAAAGAAAAACCATCCATTCATTAGTTAATTTACCAGCATTCTCTAATCAGGTTATTCATTAGCATGGTTGCACTACCTGTAGGTTCTTTGATGTAATTGTATAATTTGTGCTTCGATTTTTAAAGGTCTTAAACAGGAGGTTTCTGTAGTAGGTTTTAGTCTTACTGCCACTAGTGATGAGTTTGTTCTATGACAAATGTAAAACTGATGTTTCTCAATAACGGCAATGTTTTAAATTGCCAGAGAAAAAGGACAGTAACTATGCACAAAACCACTACATTAAGATATTAGTGTTGAATTTATTGGCAATCCTTAAGAACAGTATTTTTCAGAATATTAGTTGAACCCCAACATAAGGTGCACCCATATGTTTTAACTAGAAATTTAGAAGAAAAAATTAAACAGCCAGAGCTGTTTTACAGTATTTACAGAATTACAGTAAACTTCAGTTCATGTGCATAGGGAATATAGTGAGTTTGGGCACAGTGAGTATAGTGAGTGTGTGTGTAGAGTTTTTTTACCCCAAATGTTATCCTTGTGTCCTATAATCGGAAAAGTGGTGTAAATATTAAAACTAATGATAAAAAAAATTATAAATCATAATATTTGTTGGTTTTGCTACATAGCCATTGAGGGCCATTTTATTTATTATTCCTGATACAGTCTAAAACTTTTTTTACAGTTGCCAGATTTTCACCAATTATATTGCATACTTGAATCTCTCGATTTTCTATGGACTTTCCGATGCCAATTTTTTTTCTGGTGTTTTCCAGTAGCGTTTTATTTTTTATTTTTTAGGGGAAGCTTAGTTCATACAACAAGAAGCCTCCTCAGTAGTGATGTCCCGAACGGTTCGCCACGGACGGCGAACATAAACTTTGACCCTGTACCTCACAGTCAGCAGACACATTCCAGCCAATCAGCAGCAGACCCTCCCTCCCAGACCCTCCCATCTCCTGGACAGCTCACTAAGAATGCAGCTTCACAATGAATGTAAAATGGATGCTGTCCAGGAGGTGGGAGGGTCTGGGAGGGAGTGTCTGCTGCTGATTGGCTGGAATGTGTCTGCTGACTGTGAGGTACAGGGTCAAAGTTTATGTTTATGTTCGCCGTCCGTGGCGAACCGTTCGGGACATCACTACTCCTCAGTAATTTTTAAAGCTTCTTTCCATATTGGGCAATTCCAATTACGTATTAAGCTTTTTTTCAAAGAGTTCATCCCTTTATTGTGTCATCACTTATATATTTAAACAGTTCTGATAACATTTACTATTTAGTGCTTTTAACTGTATTTCATTCATTGTCAATTTTTCGAGTGGATAAAATATTGGTCCCTCAAAATCGATGTCACCATCTGGGGCCTTTGCAAATTTTGCAAAATCTCTAATTGGTAACAGTGCCGCTTTAACATATGGGATTCTATTCAAGGGACACTATAGACGCCCAGACCACCTTATCTCATTGAAGTGGTCTGGGTGCAATGTCCCTGTCCTCTTAAACCTGCAATGCTAATTATTGCAGTTTCTGAAAAACTGCAATAATTACATTGCGTGATTAAGTCAGTCTTTAGTAGCTGTCAGTCAGACAGCCATTAGAGTCACTTCTGGATGGTCCTCGCGTTATGCATGAGGATTTCCAGCATCAGAGAAAACCCCACAGGAAAGCATTACATTGGGTGACGTCCGAGGGGGCAGTGTGCCGGCCCAGCGCGGGAGGACATCGTTGCTGGAATCGTGTGAGTACATTAGAGGTTTGTTAACATTTACACTGCTGGGGTGGGAGGGGTGTTAGAGGATGAGGGAGGGGGGCGCAAGTGGGCTATACTGTTTGGAATACAACTTGTATTCTAGCACTATAGTATCCCTTTAATAAACATCCTACAATTGTCATATCAATCCAGTAAATTATCACCAATTTATTTACAATTTTAAAATAGAAGACAGATAAAAGATAAGGACTCAGTAGCAAAAAATAATTAAAAGAAAATAAAGACATTTTGCTGTACAAACTCTTAAGAAAGGCATGGTCGATGCAGTATTTATACCAGAAATAAGCATTTGTACTCTACCAATCCTGAAATAATGGTGTTTTTCTTTTTCAGATATATATTCTGTTACTTCCTACTCTGAAAATCTTCCCTGCTCATAAATCTTTTTAATCATACCCTCCCCTCTGCATTCTTTTCTTGAAATTCTTTAAACAGTGTCTTCACAACATCACCCCTTTCTGTTACAGAAAATGCAATTTTCTCTCTCTCCCTGTCTCTCTCTATGAGACTTTCTTCTTTTAGATACAAATAAAATAATTGCAGCAGCTTTTTATACTTGAAGAATCACCAGTGGTGAGTAACTGCATGGTGAGAGCTTTGTAGAAAAGCTGTGAAGAGTCTTGAAACTAGGCTTGAAGCATTCCCATTATTTAACCTCCTTTCTCCCGTTACCTAATCCAAATCATGTGTGTGTGTGTGTGTGTGTGTATATATATATACAAGGAAGTAGTAAGTATTTATTATTCAAGTCATGTCCTGAGCGAGCTATGTACTTTGCACATTTATCATCATTTTCTTGGGGTGTTTGTTATGATGTTTTATAGACTCCACAGATTTTTTTTTTCTGTAAATTATACATACTGACATTCTTTACACCCACTAATCAACGTAAGAGCGTGGGTTAATCACATCGAGAGATTCACACTTAGAGGAGTTATTTTTTATATCCGAATAACTTCACTAGGTCAGAGAAAAGGAAGTAATGATTAAGGTGGCAAGTAAAGGGCATTGAAAGTGAGGGAAGGATCTCATCTGTGAATAGACTACTTTTACAGTATATTGGAAAGATCCATCAGTCTCTTCTCTGATATAACACCTTTCAAAAAAGACTGCATATGTTGCAGTCTGGAAAAAGAAAAAAACAAAGCAACATCTTAGTGTTTTTAGCTCAATCAGTTATGCTGGGGACAATGAGAGTGTGCTGTGGGTAGATCCAGGGCTGGACTGGCACAACATAAAATCTGCCCCAAGCATTTAAAGGCAGAGCAGCCCAATAGAAAGAACAGTGCGAGAGGAGACATGACCTTATGTAGTGCCCACAGATGGGAAAATCGGTAGTAGGATGGTGTTGTTACCATGTGAGGGTCCTTTATGACCAGTATTGGACACTCTTGGATATCTCTGACTGTGATGGTGATGGTGACTGGTTCTTGTTCTGGCATCATGCGGTGGTGTGCTTTCTGGTGTAGTAGCAAATATGTGTATTTTATTGCAGTAAAAGGTAACAATATTATGATATTCATAGTTAAAAGCTATGCAGAACTTGGAAAATCACATTTCTTAATTTTTCCATTTTTATTTTATATTTTATTCATATTAATTTGTTTTATATATAAACATTTGATGTGAAATGGAAGCCATATTTCTCTTGAACAAAATGATATATAATAAGTGTGGGTGCACTTAATATGAAAGAGTTGAACAACAGCTCAAATTCTAGGGTTTCTTTAAATTTTGTTTTGATCAAAACTTGTACAATTGCCTCTGTCCTTAAGGGGTTAATAATAACATGCTTGTATTGTTTATTGATAACTATTGGTAAATTTTCTCCAGAATACAAGAAAACAAAAGTGATACAGGGCTGGTAAAGGGTATTGTGCATGTCTGGTGTTGTATGTGGTATGTGTTGGAGGTTGCTTGTGATATAGCATGTGCACAAAGGGAGCTGTTTGTGGTGTAGTGTGTGTAAATTGATCTATTTCTGGTGTACTATGTATGCATACAGACTGTAGTCTGTGCTTGAAGGGTAAGGAACTGGAGAGTTTGTATGTGTGTCTAGGGACTGTAGAGTGTGTGTATGTGCCTAGAAGCTCTAGCATGTGTATATGTAGCAACCACTGTGTGTTTTGTGTGTGTGTGAATGTGTATATATCTCGGGTGTATATGTCCTGAGTAGCGTGCACATATGTTTGTACATAGGTGGTAAAGTTTGTGTGTGTGTGAGAGAGAATTGGGGATCTAGTGTTTGTGCAAAGGGGGAATTGTGTGTATCCACACAATGTGTATATATGGGGTGTAGTGTGCACATGTGCAAGGGTTGTAATGTGTATATGGAATGGAATGTGTGTATAATGGTATAGAGGGTGTAGTGTGTTTGTATAGGAGGTATAGATTTGGTGTATAAGGGACACAGTGTGTGCATATTGGGGTAGTGTGTACGCAGGGCCGGCCTTAGGGGTCTGTGAGCTGTGACAGCAGTGCAGGGGAAGCTAAAGCAAGTATCCGGGTGGAGGATTTCACTATTCTCCACCAGGGTAAATGAAAAAAATTGCGCGGCAGCGGGGCGGAGCTTACCGAGTGATGGAGGCGGAGCTTAATGAGAGGCAGAGGCGGGGTTAAAACCTACCAGAAGCCCATGGTAATAACTGCTCCACAGAATGGGGGGAGCAGGAAGGAGTCCCTGCTTCCCCAACAACTAGAATACAGGAGCTGCACTGCCTCCATTCCCCCCCTGCCAGCCCATAATGGTAAGTGTGTGTTTGTGACTGTCTGCCTGTGTGTATGACTGTGTGTGTGTGTCTGACTGTCTGCCTGTGTTTGTGACTGACTGTCTGCATGTGTGTGTGACTGTGTGTGTGTGTGACTGTCTGCCTGTGTGTGTATGATTGTCTGTGTGTGTATGACTGTCTACCTGTTTGTGACTTTATCTGTGTGTGACTGGCTATGTGTGTGTGTGTGTGTGTGTGAGAGACTGTCTGCCTGTGTGTGTATGACTGTCTGTGTGTGTATGACTGATTACCTGTTTGTGACTTTAACTGTGTGTGACTATAGCTGTGTGTGACTGTACTGTGTGTGTGACTGTCTGCCTGTGTGTGACTGTAACTGTGTGGGACTACCTGTGTGTGACTGTAAATTTGTGTGACTGTAACTGTGTGTGTGTGACTGTAACCGTGTGAGTGTAACTGTGTGTGATTGTACTGTGTGTGTGACTTTCATCCTGTGTGTGACTGTAACCGTGTGAGTGTCTGCCTGTGTGTGGCTACCTGTGTGTGACTGTATTGTGTGTGTGTGACTGCCTGCCTGTGTTTGGCTATAACCTTGTGTGACTGTCTGTGTGTGGCTGTAACTGTGCCTTTGTGTGTACCTGTGTGTGACTGTACTGTGTGTGTGTGTGTGTGACTGTCTGCCTGTGTGTGACTGTAACCATGTGTGACTGTAACTGTGCCTTTGTGTATACCTGTGTGTGACTGCAACTGTGTGTGTGACTGCCTGCCTATAACTAAGTGTGTGCGTGTGTCTCTGCCTGTGTGCGTGAGTGTCTACCTGTAACTGAGTGTGTGTGACTGCCTGCTTGTAACTATGTGTGTGTGACTTCCTGCCTGTAACTGTGTGTGTGACTGTCTGTCTGTAACTGAGCGTGTGTGACTGTCTGCCTGTAATTGAGTGTGTGTGACTGTCTGCTTGTAACTGTGTGTGTGTGTGACTGTCTGCCAGTACCTGTGTGTGGGACTGTATGCCTGCAACCGAGTGTGTGCCTGTCTGTAACTGTGTGTGTGTGTGTGTGTGTGACTGTCTTCCTGTAATTGAGTGTGCCTGTCTGTAGTATGTGACATACTTAGTCTGCCCCTCTGTAATACATGGGAGGCAGTCTGATACCTCTGGCCTGCACGTCTATTGGCTGCAGACCAGTAGTAGCTGTCTTCCAAGTTCCGGCCAATCAGTGCATTGCTGTGGATTGAAGCCTTGACACTGTAAATGCCTGAGCTAACGAGACAGTTACTTATAGTCTGCACCTGGTGAAGGGTGCAGACCAGATTTCCAGCACACTGGAACACCAGAGATTAACATTCCCCCCTCACTGCAAGGTAACAGGAAAGGGGGTTTAATAAATCCCCTATAAAAACACTACACCCCTATACACACACACACAAACATGGATGAAGATGTATGACTGGGGAGGATGGGGGGTGCGCTATAAACATTTTTCGCACAGGGCGCCTAGTGGCCCAAGGCCAGCCCTGTGTGTATGGCTGTGTATGCGGTGTGATGTGGTTATACTAATTTAATTTTACATAATAAAAATAATTACAACTTAATTAATTATTGAATAAATATTAAAAAAGAAAATTAATATCCCCTCATTTGTTGCCTTGCAGGTAGCGGGATCAAGCTAAAGCCTGGTGGCCCAGTGGGCTGGGTAACCAGTGCACACCAGTCTGCTCCTCCTAGAGGTGCAGACTTTTAGCAAAATCCCTTGTTTCTACTTCTGTTCTCTAGGTTTTTATTGTGACTTAGGCAAATGAGGAGTTTGCCTTATTTGTTTACAGTAGCATGCTTGGAGGTATAATAATCTTCAATATTTAAAATCCATCCTTCTGCACTCGGAGCTTTGTGCTTAGAAGGACACTTGGGACGATCTTGATTCAATTTTCATGGTTAAGATTTCCAGTTCAATGTCTTGAAGAGGTGCTAATGAGTAAACTGTTTTCTGTTTTCGGAGTGGCTTTCCAGTTGTGAGTGTGATGAGCTTTGCGATGGCTGCCAATTTAAGGGTTGTTTTTAAGTGGTCTTATGTTCTGGAGCATATTTATTAAAAAAAAATCTGGCTTTTTGAGTCACTAGAAACTGTAAAAGAAAGCAGAAAACAAATAACAAAGACTGTATAATCGAGCACTGATCATGAGAGCTTAAATAGAAGAAAAGTAATTATGAATTTAATCAAACTTGACAGAATAACAGTGTGTTTTTGTATCTATACCCAAAGAGGAGACAGTGCAAGTTATATATGATAACAGAATATGACAGTGAATTAGGAATGAGCTATTTTGCTGTGTGTCTCAGCCGTAAGGATTCGTGAAAAACAACTGTTTCATGCTTTGATTTAATTATATGGTTGCTAGTTTAGTCCAATCTTATATATATGTTATGACTGAGGAAAAGAACAAGGATGCAACAAGATAGTAGTATCCAATTCAACACAGTATCTTATAGACGCAGTCCTACTCAGGAATAGTGGTGGCAGCTATAGGGATATCTCCAAGGCAGCAGGGAAGAGGTGCATAGACGTCTATCAATATTTGCAACATTAACTGCTGATGAACTCGTTTGTGTGCACCTTGGCTTGACTGTGTTGATGGTCCACATGGCACATTGCAAATATATAATTAATAGGGACATTTCTCAATATAACATCATGCAATGTGGAAGGAATTTTGCTCTGTTTCACTGATACTCAAGTGGGCTTTGTTTTAGGCCTGTGAATCTGTAATTTCTAGGGTAGTATGGTGAAGATATGCTTCCAAGTTTGCTGCCAAATTATCTCTGGACTTTTACAGTCTTTTGAATGGGTATCTCACGGTTACCTGGAATTGATGACATTGGGTCAAGTTGATGGGTGTTAAGGCTAGACACTCCAACATGCAAACCTCCGACCTGTGGGGATTCTGTACTACTGGAAATGTATTACAAGTCCTTAGGGTGGCCAGGTTTAATGTATGAAAGATATTAGAGAGTATCAGAAAAACAATAAGCAAAGCCAAAGTAAGAGATTGGAGAAGTCAAAGATAAAATCAGGGTGCAAGAGAATACTGAGAATGGACAACAGCTCAGGTAGCTTTGGTGGGTCCCCGTTCAGATATCAAGCTAGTTTTAGCTCATCTTGTGCCTCTTACGGGTGGCGGTACGGAAACCGGGACCCCTGAGTGCCTGATGAAAAGTCTCCAGCGTGAAAGTGGATTATCAGGGCCTGATGCAGGGTAACCACATGCCCTCTGGTGTTGCGCACCAGCGTTTGTGTGGCCACATACCAGGTCCAGGGCCAGATTAAGAGCCCAGTGGGCCTGGTGCTGACAATTATGACGGGCCTAATTACAGAATCATATCGACCAAAAACAGTAAAACACTCCCAAGAGTATCTGATGGAGATGGTGCTGGAGAGAAAGAAAACAGCAGCTAAAAGAAAACACATACCCTAGGCTAATCTCTCACTAATTTATGTTTTCATCTTTCAAGTAAATCCATAACCCTTAACAGCAGTGTCCAGTCAAGCAGGAAGTCAATGGGCACAGTAAAAGGGTGTGCCACTGACACAAATCACGTAACCTGCCAAAAGGGGCGAACATGCCCAAAAAGAGGATATGTCTGCCCAAAGAATTAGAAGGCCAGCCTGGTATGAATGCATGTCAGGCTGCCTGCCAATCATGCAGCTGGCCAACTAAGGGCATACTATGCAGACAGCACCCTGAGCTTGGCATAAATGCATCTAATGATGCGCTCGCTCAACGCTTTCTAAGGACTGTCCCCTAGCACTCGCTGGCCCACTTGTCTCTTTACCTTCTTACTAGCAGGCAGAAGCCCCTGGTGTATAGTTTGGGACAGAGAAAAGCTGTATGTGGTGAGTGTAGAAGAAAGGGAACATGCCACAGTGTTAGAGAGACCAAAGTCAGCATTACCTTAAAGGACCACTCTAGGCACGCAGACCACTTCAGCTTAATGAAGTGGTCTGGGTGCCAGGTCCCTCTAGGATTAACCCTTTTTTTTTTTTTTTTATAAACATAGCAGTTTCAGGCTGCATTTTATGTTTTACTATTGTTGTATAACATTTGATTTTAATTTTTGGTCCCTGAGGAAGTTCCACATTGTGAACGAAACGCGTAGGACCTCATTTTAAGCTTGTATTATATATTTATTGTTGGGTGATGTTTCATCCTTAATAAAGCCGCTTCATTTATTTTTCTCACCACCCTGGGAGTCCTGTTTTTTTCATCTATTTTCCTGGAGCAACTGAAGGAGGATAACAGCCCCCCACTACTATCGGGGGAGGCACCATAGAGCGATATATTTCATCTAATCTTGTGAGTGCATTTCATGAATACTTACTTACTATTTGATATAGATTTACACTATGTATATTTATATTTTTCAATTTTAGATTTCTCAGCCGTATCCCAAATATTTCTGGTTGTTCTATATTTTGCTGTGTAAAGGTCATTCATTCTGGGTAATGACCTGGGAGGCTGTTTCACTTGAATATTAAGATAAGTATATTTTTCACTTATATATACTATTCACTAAGTGGTGATATTTGAGTATATATATACTTTTCTTTGTTCTTCCCTGAGCTGTAGGCTGTCTCTGCAGGGTGGGAGTTGCTGTCTGGACTCTCTGTAGCTGCACCCCTGGAGAGATATGCTGCAACTTCCCATCCCTGCCTGTCTCCACACACAGTGACCCCTACTGGCCAGTGCTAGTAATCTCTTGGTTTATACTGAGAAAAATACCAGCATTTGTATTGCCAGTATCACTGTAATATTGGCACCAGCCAGGAAGCCTCAAATACTGGCTGTGCCAATAAAATTAAAAACAAGGTGGAATCCCTAAGAGTAGTGTGTGGGGGGAGGGGGGGAAATGTAAAAAAAAAAATTTCTTTCTTTTTTTTTAAATCAATGGGCCTATTCCATGGGCCTGGGCCTGGAGCTGCAGCTCCATCAGCCCCTATGTTAATCCGGCCCTGACCAGGTCTCTGATGCAGCTACAGCGGATCCCAAGACCTAAGAGATATGCAGACCTCCCAGGAGCTGAATAGGGAGGCTCTGCAGCAAGCACATGTATCCAGTACAGAAACAAAGCAAGACTATAACAGGCACCAAACATGGAAACAAGACAGAACTAATAGAACCCAGAACCAGAGAAGGATAGTAAGCTAAACCCAGAACATGTACGCAATACATAAGGGAAACATTGACATAACATGGGTAGGACTGTACAGGACTGTACATGGACTGGGAATACAAACTAAAACAAGACAAGATATGATAGGCAAAACAAGAGGAGAAATAACTAAGTACTATATATGAAAATCATGGGGATTTAGTCACATTATATGATCATACATTGCACAAGCCTGCCAACAACGCCAATGTACCCCATATCTGGCAGGTCCCACTCTACCTAATGTAAGCT